TCACTTAGTGTAATGTTTTACTGGTAGTATACTACATGCTTAGGTGTAGAACAATATGTTAGCAATGACATATATTTTCTTACATCACCTGTTTTCAGATAGGGAAAGTAGGAGTCACATAGAGCTAATAATTTGTCCAACCGCAACCTGACTCTTTCAAAATCAGATCTACTTTATTCCACAGCTGATGCTTTTACTTTTAGACTAGGTTGCTTTCCAGTTTATTAACTTTATTTATCTATTTTGGTGGCACTGGGGTTTGAACTTATGGCCTCACACTTGCTAGGCAGGCACTCTTACTGCTTGAGCCATACCTCCAGCCTTTTTTGTGATTTTTTTTTTTTTTCCTGAGATAGAGTCTCCTGAAGTATTTGCCTGGGGCTGTTCAAGCCATGATCCTCCTGATCTCTGCCTCCTGGGTAGTTAGAATTACAGGCATGAGCCATCAGCACCTGGCCCAGTTTATTAACTCTAAACTTTATTTAAAACATCTTTTTTAGCCCTTGCACTGTGAACAAGAGGTGCTGTATAAACTGCTCTTTACTAAAAACTGCTCTTTATTTTTTACTAACTGCATTTTTTTGGGGCAGGGGTCTCAGTACTGGAGTTTGAACTCAGGACCTCCCAGTTGCTAGGCAGGCACTCTTCCACTTGAGCCATTCCACCATCCCTAGTTGAAATCTTCATCAAAGATTCCTTTATCAAGCTGGTTGGCTGTGATCAGGGTTCAAGGCCAGCCCAAGACAAATAGTTCATGAGACCTTATCTCCAAAATAACCAGAGCAAAATGGACTGGAGTTGTGGCTCAAGTGGTTAGAGTGCCTGCTTTGCAAGCATGAAGCCCTGAGACCAGAGTCCCACAAAAAAAAAGAGAAGTTCTTTATCAAAGATTTGCTCATAAGTGGCAGTGGCAAAACTGATTTTTATAACTTTTCTATCTGGGATTGGTGACAAAAAGGAGATACAAATCAAGACAGGGCTGAGGATGTAGCTCAGTGGCAGAGTGCTTGTTTAACATACTCAAGGCCATAGTTTGATTCCTAGCACCAGAAAATAAATAAAAACATCAATAATAAAAGACAAGAGGGAGGCCAGATGCTGGTGCTCATGGCTGTAATCCTAGCTACTTGGGAGACTGAGATCAGGAGGCAAGCCCAGGCAAAAGAAATCCATGAAATCCCCATCTCTGGAAAAAAGCTGGGTGTAATGGCAAGCGCCTATCACCCCAGCAATGGTATGAAGCTTAAAATCGGAAGATCTCAGTCCAGGTTACCTGGGCAAAAGTGAGACACAGTCTCTAAAATACCCAGACTAAAAAGGCTTCAGGCCCCAGAACTATCACAAAAAATAAATGAACAGAGAGAAGAAAGTCACCCCTACATAATTATAAGCATAATTTCTAAATATGGGGTCCACGAAGTGTTTGAGTTTCATAAACATTTTTAATAAGTTGGTATGCCTTTATTATCTTTGGAAAATTCTACCTATTTTATTTATTATTATTATTTGTGTGTGTGTTACTAGGGATTGTGTCCAGGGCCTTGTATGCTAAGCAAACACTGAACCACTGAGCTACATCCCCAGCACATATTATTTTGCACTTTTTTTTTTTTTTTTTTTGCCGCGCTGGGGTTTGAACTCAGGGCCTATACCTTGAGCCACTCCACCAGCCCTTTTTTGTGATGGACTTTTTTGAGATAGGGTCTCACGAACTGTTTGCCCAGGCTGTCTTCAAACAGTGATCCTCCTGATTTCTGCCTCCTGAGTAGCTAAGATTCTGACAGGTTATGAGCCACTGGCACCTGGCTTACTTTGTACTCTTAATACACCTGTCCTTTTGCCTCTCAGAAGACATGGCAAATTTAACCTTGATGTGTTCAAGATACTCTGTGCTTAACATTCAACTAAGAATATAGGCATTATATGATCTAAGTCCATTGTTATCTTACCATATAAAAACATCACAGGCAATTATAAAGTTGGAAATCTTATCCCAATTTGCAGACCAAGGGAATTCTAGAAGCAATTTGGACTTACTGAGTGAGTGATCTAAGTGTGTCCCAGATGTGGTGAAAAGCTTTAAGGTAAGACAGAAAGCAAAGGAAGGGAAAACCCATAATTTAGGGTAAAGGTATGAGGACTTCAAGAATCAGAATGGCAGGATCTAGCAGTTCTTACTGAATACACTGATAATGGCAGGGCTTAAATCTTGGCTCTACTACTGACATAACCTCTCTGAGCCTTAGTTTTCTTATTTGTAAAATGAGAATACAAATATCTTACATGTTTAGGCTGAGTATGAAATCAAGACAAAATATACAGTGTACTTAGCAGAGTACCTGGCCCGTGATAGTTCAGTGAAAATTACTGATAGTGCTATTATGATGTGCTTATGAAGTTTCGGGTTTTTTGTTCTCAATATATAGCCCAGGCTAGCCTTGAACTCAAGATTATTCTGCCTTAGCCAACAAGGTGTGGGCCACCTAGCCAACTCGATTCTTTTTTTCTGATTTTTGTGAATCTCTTGGTGTATGCTTCTCTTTTCAGATTTAGTTGAATCCCTTTGTTTGGGTTTCTCTGTTGGCGCTTTACCTTATCACAGATACCTGCTTAGTAATAATTGTTGATTTTGAGAAAGTCCTTAAGGGCAGCAACTTTGTCATACATGGTATTTATTTCCCTGTGCTACTTATACGTAGCATATTGCCTTGTGAGAAATAGGACTTGTTATAATTGTGGCTGAAATCAATAAATAGATCATATTCAGTCTGAGTTCTTCCTTTCTGCTAGTAGCAAGCTGATAAACAAATTTCCAGTGTGGTTTATATGAGCTTCGGCCCCTCCTACAGTATTGCTTTTACTTATTTATTTTTTAATTGTTGATACAGATGGATCTGTAATAAATATTTGGTTCTGTGATGCTCACAGTCCCAATTACAAGGTAACTTAGAATTAAAATTGAAACAAACAGCTAAACACCAGAAATGAAGCAAAATTATAAATATCTTTGCAGAACAGCAATTTCTGAAATTGTTTTTATACAGTGTAACAACAAAAGTATCAACTTCATTATTTTACAGATTTAAGTTTGATTTTGTATTTTATTAAAAGTGGCTACACTCTAAACAACCACATATTCCATCTGCATTTTCTTCCTACAAACATTTTTTCTTCTGCCATTTACTTATTGTATCCTGTTGTTTGTTTCATAAGAAAGAATCCATTTATTTGATTTGAAAGGTCAGTGGAATATAGTCTGAGACCAGAGGTGACTCTAACTTTATTTTAAGCTCAGAACCTGTCTTATCTGAGCCTAAATGCCTGACTCCAAGAGAAGTGCACTGCTCATTGAGAAGACTTCAGCACCTTATTTCTCAGAATTCTCAGACTCCTTAGAATTCCTGAGCTTAGGGTATTTGTTGTAGATTTCCATTATGAGTAGATTTCCAAAATAATTGGGATATTCAATGGTATTAGTCTTCTGTTAACATGTTTAAGTGATCTGAATCACCTTTGCATTCAGAAGAGGTTTCTACTTTCAGAGCATAGACAGGAAGCCTGTGGTTCAAAAGTAGTAAATAAGAGAAGATTGCTAGTGATTGTACAGCTGCTGCCTCCATAGTATACTTGTTTGGCTCAGGTTCTCTAGGAAAGCGAATTCTCAGAATTACATAGCAGAAGAGATATGTTGCCTGGATACCACACGTTCAAAATAATAAAAATGCAGTCAGAGTAAGGGGTTTTATGTCTTACAGTGAGGTAAGAGTTAGTATAAGAAGCATTCCAAATATGCCAGTTCTCTTAGACTAAAGAGCATCCTTTTTTTTTTTTGGCAGGCTGGGGTTTGAACCCAGGGCTTCACGGTTGCAAAGCAGATACCACACCCGTTTGAGCCACACCTTCATCCATTTTTTGCCCTGGTTATTCTGGAGATGGGATCTTGTGAACTGTTTGCCTGGGCTGGCCTGGAACCTTGATCCTCCCAATTTCAGCCTCTCAAGTAGCTAGGATTACAGGTGTGAGCCCTAACACTTAATTAATTAACATTACTTATTTCCTCAATGTCTCTTTTTCCTACCCTTTTTAGGTCTTTTTCTTTCTTTTCTTTTTTTTTTTTTTTTTTTTTTTGGTGGTACTGGGGTTTGAAGTCAAGTCCAAAGCAGGCACTCTACCATTTGAGCCACACCTTCAGCCCTCTGCCCTTTTCACCTTATCATCTTAGCACCAACCAGACCCCAGGGTTCAATCTCTAGCACAAAAAAACCCCCGACAACAAAAAACCTTTTACCTAAGGATAAACTCATAAGGAATTTAGAAGTAAATACATTTCTACTCGGTGAGAACACTACTGTGATAATTCAATGTAAGAATGAAAAACGAGGGAATTGGGACAAAATCCTACATTAATCTTTTCTCTGTAAGTTGATTCCCATTTTAGAGACAACACGTTCATCACCATATTCAGTAATAACTTTTCTTTCTCTAGCCTGCTTCCCTTTAATAATAATAAATACTTTACTATGGTGATTGTTGAAAGGATAACTCAGGTGTAGTATTTGTACTGTAGGTATCCTAGTAGTCAAAAACTATTAAAAAGGCAAGGTACTATATTGGAGGCTGCATCTTTCTTTTTATTTCTCAGATACCTTCTCCCATACATCAGCTCTTTCAGTAGCTTTCCTGATAAATCCTATCTACAAGTTCTTTCCAAGACTGAGGCAGCTAAAATGTAAACAGGCACTAGCTGAACCTTTTCCTGCTGTCGCCCACTAGTTATTTTCACCATTTCTTCCCTAAATGTTAATTCACTTTCCTTCCAACTCAGAGCTAGGCTTTCTTGGAAACTGAAGCTGGGAAAATACTGAATTTCTCTCTGCTTCACCCTTTCTTGATTTTCTTTTTTCAGTACTGGGGCTTGAACTCAGGGCCTTCGCCTTGAGCCAAGCCAACAGCCATATTTTTGTGAAGGGCTTTTCGAGATAGGGTCTTGTGAACTATTTGCCTGGGCTGGCTTTGAACCTTGACTCTCCTGATCTCTGCCTTCTGAGTAGCCAGGATTACAAGTGTGAGCCACCTGCACCTGGCTCTGCTTCACCCTTTCAAGAATGAATGATTATGGCATATAGGAAATGTTGGCAGTCTCTCTAATCTTTTTGATAATTCAAGGTCTAGTCTCATCAGAAGTCCCAGGTTCATATTCTAAAATGAAAGAAATTGAGGCACCTTCCTTATATCATTCCTTTATATATTAAGAGAAAACTGATATAATCTCCCTTCTAGCCCAGTTGGTATTTAAATTCTGGTTTCACCTGTTTTCAGAGAGAAGACTGTAATTTTATGTCAGGAGATCTTTCAACATTCCTAGGTCTCATTTTCTCTAGAAGATTTTTGTATAAGGACATTGTTAAATGACTTGTAGTAAATATGTGTTTCTTCCAAAGATATCCAGCTGGGAAGTCCTTAGAGGCATTTAATTTCAGAGAATATCCACAATTGCTCCAGTATGTATTTCTAATGTTTGTCAACAATCCTTTGAACATAAAGATAGAAAGCTTTTCACAGAATCTTGTTATACATTTTGGAATCCTTTTTCAGTTCTTATTTTAGAGTTCAATGTAAGTAGGAAGATTAGTAATAGATAAGAGTGAGAGACAATCATTCTTCTCCATCTCCCACATTTCAGGTTCTCCTGAAATTAATATCTGACCTCATGACACGTGAAGTTAAGTCAGAAAAAAAGAGACATGTTTCCTTTCTTTGGAGTTTCTTGGAAGCAGTCCAGTTCATGGTGCATATACATGTAATATAAGGCTATGGGTTCTTTTTGACTCTTGAATGTTCTCAATAATCTGATAGGTTTGCAGAAATGATTACAAAATTTGCAAACAACACCCCGTTTCTTCTTGACATGGATGCTCAAAACATTGATGCAAAACATCCTAGGTGAGACATTTTAGGTGTGTTCACCTCACTTTTATCTAGCATTCACCACAGGTCTTGGTCATCAATAGCTGGATTTGGATCTCTGCTTCCCTTTACTCTGGTCTAAAGGCACAAAGAGATGCCTGTTTAGAGTTGATCACTTTATATCCTCTTGTTCATTTGGTATCATATGAAGAAAGTGTGCATCTGCATCTGTTCCAGGTGATGTTCACTGCTATTTAAATGGCCTCTTATCTGGTTGAGGGGATGTGTGGCTGGTGACTGAGTATCAATGACTAGAAAAGTCCTAAGATCTTGACTTCTAGAAAAGCATGGAGTCATGTCCACTGTAATTCAGACTGTTTGGAAGGTTCCACTCTGGCTGAGGATCATGCTGGGCGTGGCTTCTGCTTTGGTCAGGGTAGCATGGTGCACTTTCTTTGGTTCAAAACCTCTCAAGTCAGGCCCTAGTAGGCTGTATGGCTGGGGGGCTAGCCCTGGCTGGGGTGCTGCTTCAGTTGATAGTGTCCGCTGGCTGCGTGAGGCACTATTTGCTGTGGAACGAGTAGAGGAAGAACCAGAGCGAGAGCTCCGAGAGCCTGAGGAAGAGGAGCTAGGTTTCACCAGGCGGGCTTTTGGGGCTTCAGCATCTTCTCTGAAGAGAAAACACAGCAAAGAGAAACTTTAGTATCAGCAGGATTTTACTGGCTTCCACTATAGTTACTTCCTCCTGAGGCTTTCCAAATAATACCATCAGAAGGTAGCCCTTTAGGAAACTGAGCACTCCCTCATTTCTTGAGACTTAATGCTTGGTTTAGGCAAATATTTATTTTGTTAGGATACAACTCACCATGAGATAGTCTAGATAGCACTTGCCCTGATTTAGGGTTTGTATGTGTAAAAGCCTTTCATGTCCTGCAGGTTATACATCCTTTATTGTGTATAGCCTTTTTAAGTGGGAATGAATCAGAAGTAATGTAAAGTTGAACTCACGAGTCTCTGTTGAGGATAGTTTCCCAATAAGTCTGGGTAAACCATACATTCTTTCCCAAGGCAGCAACTTCCTCCTAACAGAATAATCCTTTGAACAGATTGCGTGGTTCAGAGGAAACTGGGGATATTTATCATAAGCTTTTTGTGTTTTGTTTTGTTTTTTTCTTGGTGAGACTGGGGTTTGAACTCAGGCTTCATGCTCACAAAGCAGGTGCTCTAGCTGTTGAGTCACACCTCCAGTCCTAAACTGGGGATATTTATGTTGACTCGTTACTATGCAACTGGCCTTAGAAAAGCAGCTCAGTAGAAGTAGGAACTTGGGAGGCTTACCGAATTTCATTAGGTCTTTCTTCCTCATATCTTTCTTTGTCTTTCCTTCGGATTAGCAGCCACACCAAGAAGAAAATCAGTAGGGCTCCAGCCACTATGCCTGTCACTGCTCCTGCAACCATGCCGATGCTTTGTACATCTGTTTTCTCAGAAGCAGAAGCACAAGTAAAGTCAAACGTAAGATGGGAAATACATGAATTCAAAATGCGTCTGCTCTGGGCAGGATGAGGACTTCTAGGTTTTTATATGTGTCTTCTAGAGTAGCGCCCCATTACTCTCTGTGGTCTGACTGCCCTCTTTGGTACTTTTGCACTTGTAATCACTGAATCACAGACTTTACTAGCAATTAGCTCGGATTTTGTGAATAAGCCTGGGTTGGTGCAGATGATAAAATGCACGGGAGAGTTACTGTATCATGTTTGAAGATTTTGTCAACATTAATAGGATAATGTTGGGTCAATACTCTGACTCTGCTAACTTCCTTTTTTCTCAAACTTTCTCTTACACTAATGAGATAAGAAATATATAACGAGCCATGTTAGACTCTGTGTGTGTTTACCAATAGATCCTAGAACTTCAGAAGTCAAAATGTGACTTGCACATTAGTAACTCTGATTCATATGCCAAACATATTCAGTGCCTACACCAAGCCAGGCACAGTTCTAGGTACTGATGAAGACAGGTAAGGGTTTTGTTTTTAAGTTTACATTCCAGAAAGTGGGAAACATGACAAATAAATAAAAATAATTTCAGAATATATATGAATTCTTTGAAGAAAAGTAGGTGATTGATAGTTTAGAGGGAGAATAGAAGAATACCACTTACATTTGGGCAATCAGGACTCTGAGGAAGTGGCATTTGAGTTGAGATATAAATAGAAAAGACTATCTTGTGATCTAGGAATAGAACACTACAGACAGGAGGAATAGCAAGTATGAAGAATGTGAGTGGTTCTGGAGCATAATGAGCAAGGTATAGTGTAGGGAGATAAGGTGACAGACAAGAACAGACCAACTCACATAGGGCCTGCAGGCCATGGCAATGATTTCAGTATAAGAGCAATGAAGGCATCACATGGTCCAAATTACATTTGGGAAAGCATATCGTTACTGTTCTAGGGAAAGGAATTATGGAGGAGGTGGAAAGGAAGCTGTGACTCAAGTTAGCATACTTCCAGTAGTGCTGGCTAGAGATGGTGGTAGATTAGGCTAGGATGGAAGTAATTTACATAGAAGCAGGTAGATAAGTATGGCCTGTATTTTGGAAGTGTAGTCAACAGAAAATCTCTTTATTCTTATTCTGTGTTTATAAGCTAAGTGACTTCTTAACGTAAACAAAACCATTTTTTAAAGAAATTAGACTTTGAATATCTCTTATTTAAGGTCTCCAAGGACTACAGCATATTTACAATTTCAGCTAAGGAATGCTGATTTCCCCTTGCCTCAAACCTACCACACACTCTAGATGGATTGTCTATTAATAGAAATTAGATTGCTTTGAATTTTTCACAATTGAAAATAATACATAATTTCCATATGTATTTGCACACTTTTGGAATATCTCAGAAGAACAAAAACAAGAAATATTGCTGAATAAAATGAATGCACTTTTCCATCAAACATAAAATGGGTCTCTAATTGTGCTATACTTCTATAAAAATACTATAAAACAATAAGAATGAACATATTGTAGCTATAAGCAACAATAATGAATTTCGAAAACAATGTGGAGCTGGCTGAGTGGCTCAAGTGGTAGATTACTTGCCTAGCAAGCAAGAGGACCTAAGTTCAAACCCTCAAACCCAAGTACCACCAAAAACCAAATAAACAAAAAACAATGTGGAGTGGGAAAAGCTAGATACAAATTAATGATTCCATTTATGTAATAAGTTCTAAAACAGGGAAAGTAATCTGTAAATTAGAAATGTGAGTAATGGAGGGGTGGTGAGAGGTACTGACAGGTTCTTAATCATAGTGCTGGTAAGTGAATAATAGATACTCACTTTTGAAAATCTACCAGAATGTACATTTAGGATTTATGTACTCTTCTCTGTGCAATTTTACCTCACTATATTTACTTCCCCAAATCTATAGATGACACTAAAAGGTGCTATCAGTTTATACTCTGGTTAAAAATGTAAAAGCTCCTGCTTTCTCATATCCTTTGTATAATTTGTACTACACTTTTTACATTTTTTAAATTTTTTTGGTCCTCTTTTTCATTGACATAAAAGGCAGTTCACAGTACGTATTTCTGTGAAGTGCTCATTAAATTTGTAGGAAAAATTATGTAAAACCTGGAAATGGACAAAAGAAGTACAGTGCTAGATAATTTACAATTCTTCAAGGGCAGCTTATAGACCTCTGTCCAAAAAAGATGGAAATGATTACCGTCCAGTTAGATAGGTGACCCCAGAAATTATAGTCTGTGATTTTATAGAATATTAACCAGTTTGATGCCTGACCTAGCAATCTTTACATCTCATGTGTTACATTTTCTCTATCTCTAACTTCTCAAATGCTCTTTGGACCAAATTTAGTATCTTACTAGCTCCCTCATCAAGCAATGAAGTTTTGCTTGTAACACTGGAAGATTGAACCTAGGACCTCACAAGTGCTAGACAAGTACTCTACCATGAAACTACATCTCCTGCCCAAGTAATGAATGAAATGAAATCTTTAGTTTGTCAGAATTAAAAGTTTACCATTTTAGCCAGGCACCAGTGACTCAGGCCTGTAATCCTAGCTATTCAGGAGGCAGAGATCAGGAGGATCGTGGTTCAAAGCCAGCCTGGGCAAATAGTTTGTGAGACCCTATCTTGAAAAAACTCATCACAAAAAAGAGGTAGTAGAGTGGCTCAAGCTGTAGCCATTTTGAAAATTATACTTCAACGACATTCTGTGCCATATTGGTTTAGACATTTTCTCACTGATTTGAGGGTTTTTTTCCCTAGTTGAAAGTGTTCTTTATTGTATATTTGATACTTACCTTGTTAGACTTTGCACTCTGGCAGTTGCCTAAAATATGTCCACAAATAATTTGCTATTTCTTCCTTCAAGGGATAGAGTTGCCTGGCAAATTGGTATACACGAGTAATCCCAGTATTGGGAAAGTTGAGACAGAAGTATAATGGGTTTGAGGTTAGCCTGGTTTATGTAGCAAGTCTTTGTTAAAAAACTAAAAAAGGCAGCCTGTCATTCCTCCCCCCTGGCAGTACTGGGGTGTGAACTCAGGGCCTTGTGCTTGCTAGGCAGGTGCTTTACCACTTGAGCCATTTGTTCATTTATTCCAACTTCCTTTTGAATGTGGACTGCACTTGGTGACTTCCCTTTTTTTTTTGCGGTATGTACTCAGTCTTATCTTGTACTTACTAGGCAAGCATTCTACCAATTGAGCCACACCCCCAGCCCTTTTTGCTTTATTTATTTTATAGGTAGGTCTTGAGTTTTTGCCCAGGACTGGCCTAGACCTCCTACCCATGCATCCCAAGTAGTTGAAATTATAGATGCCTGCCACCACTGCCGGGATCATTTGTTCAGATGAGGTCTCACTAATTTTTTTGCCTGAGGGGGCCTCAAACTGAGATTCTTCCAGTCTCTACTCCTGAGTAGCTGGGAATAGAGGTGAGAGTCTCTATACAGGGCTTCCTTCTTTCCTTCTTTCCTCCCTTCCTTTTTTGAGAGAGTGTCTCACTTTGTAGCCCAGGCTGACTTTTAACTACCACGCCCAGTTTAGTACTCACTTCTTTTCTTTTTTTTTTTAGCAGTATTGGGGTTTTGAACTCAGAGCCTCATACTTGCTAGGCAGGCACTCTACTACTTGAGCCACTCCAACAGCCCTTTTTGTATTGGGTATTTTCGAGATAAGGTCTTGTGAACTATTTGCCTGGGCTGGCTTAGAACCGTGATCCTCCTGATCTTCCAGTTAGCTAGGATTACAGGTGTGAGCCACCAGCGTCTGACAGTGACTCACCTCTACTGAATAGAATACAGAAGAAGGGATGGTACACCATCTGGAGACTTCAGTCATGCAAAAGCCAGGGAGTACTTAGCTCTCGAGGCACTTTTTTTTATTTTTCTTTGAAGCAGGCACAGTCTTTCTTAGATCATTGTCTGTGTGGAAGGCCATCAGTAAGTGAAGAGCCTGGTGTACAGGCCCATGTGTGCAGAAATGAGGCCTCTGGCTGACAGCCATGTGAAGGAGTCATTTTAGAGACCGCTCCTCCAGCACCATTCAAACCTTGCAGTGGCTGCAGCACTTGGCATCTTGCACAACCTCTCTTGAGGAGATAGTGAGGAGACTTTCCAGCTAAACTGCTTCTGAATGTCTTACCACAGAAACTGAGACATAAGTTTGTAGCTACTAAATTTTGGGGGGATTTGTTACACAGAAATATATAATAGTACTCATCTTGTTTTTGTTTTTCAGTGGGTTTTTAAAATTTTTTTTTGGTTTGTGTTTTTGATGGCACTGGGAGTTAAATCAGGGCCTCCTGCTTCCTAAACAGGTGCTCTACCACTTGAGCCACTCTGCCAACCCTTGTTTATGTTTAAAACATGGTTTATACAGCCTTTTTAATAAATGCTATCTGATAACATGAGTTGAGGACATGGGATTTGGCTCAAAATTCTGAAGTTATAAGTTGATAATAGGAAAATAATAGCAATAGTAACTAGTGTTATTGAGCACCCATTATGTGTCAAGCCTACATGGTTGCCAGCTCAAGAAATACTTGACCTTAACCTTACATTTACTCATCATTAAAATGTCTTACTTTGAAACACAATGCAAAAATAAAATTTTTAAAATGACAAAAAAAAAAATCCTTTGGAGGACTAGAGTTGTAGCTAAGTGGTAGAGTGCCTGCTTAGCATACTTGAGGTCCTGGGTTAAATCTCCAGCACTACAAAAAAGAAAAGAAAGCAAAACAACAACAACAAAAAACCCTTCATATACTTACACTGTACAGTCACTCGCACCACACAGCTTTCCTTGCCAGCCTCGTTGCCTGCTGTGCACTGGTAGAGCCCAGAGGAGGACATGGTAAGATTCTGCAGCAGGACTCGCCCAGGATTGTTATAGTCTACATAAGCAGAAAGGATGCTGTAAATTTCCTTAGTGACAGCATCTGTATTTATTGTTTACTGTGGAGCATCACTAACCTAAGATTCTTCAATACAGTTTGATAAGGATGAAATAATAGACCCCTTTTTGAAACATGATAATTATTTACTTTTTATTTATTTACTTTTTTTGTGGTTCTGGGATTTGAATTCAGGGCCTACACCTTGAGCCATTCCATCAGTCCTTTTTTATGTAGCATATTTCAAGATAGGGTCTTGCAAACAATTTGCCTGGGTGGGTTTTGAACCTGGGTTCTCCTGATCTCTGCCTCCTGAGTAGCTAGCATTACAGGCATGAGCCACCAGCACCCAGCTAAATATTCTTTTAAATTGTAGTACATCCTTACCAGATGCCAGTGGCTCACACCTGTAATCCTAGCTACTCAGAAGGCAGAGATCAGGAGGATGGTGGTTCAAAGCCAGCCTGGGCAAATAGTTTGTGAGACCCCATCTCGAAAAAAAGAAACATCACAAAAGGGGCTGATGGAGTGGCTCAGGGTATAGGCCCTAAGTTCAAACCTCAGTGACCACAATAAATAAATAAATTGTACTACATCCTCAAAAGTGACAAAAGGTTATGAATATCCAAGGGATACTAAACAAGATGATTAGAATAGAGTGGATTTATGTGGTACATTTCTTCCTAATTGTTTTGTGTTTTTTTTTTTTTTTTACTTGTCATTTGAAGAAAGATTTTCTGTCTTTACTTTATGGTTAAAAACAAAATGGAAGTTGAGGAGGTTCAGCAGTATACTCAAGGTCATATAGTGAGGTGCTGACAAAGGAGATTTAGAATTCATGGATACAGGACTATCTTGTTAGCCCAGCAGACTGGTAAGGTGACTTACCAATCCTAGATTTGGGAGGCAAATGTTCATCCTCCCCCTCTTTCTCCCGGATTCGCTGCCAGTAATACACAATGGGCTTTGTGCCTGAGGATGACTCACACTGCAGAGTCAGGTCACTTCCTTCTGTCAGCTCTCCTTCCAGTTCACACTTGGGTTTGGATGGTCTCACTGGCCACATAGAAAAAAAAAAAAAAAGTACAATTCCAAGGTTCTCCAAACACCAGAGTCAATGTCAGTGCAAAAGCTATGTTTCTTGAGTTGTTTCTCCAGCCATATGTATGGTCAATTTATGAGCCAGGATTTAATTAGCCATCCTTTATATTAGCCCCAGAAGGCACCCCACCCTATCCTCTATCCTCCACACACACACTTCTAGCTGCTACCAATGGGGGTGGTGTGATTTTTCAAGGGCTGCTTCAAAACTCCCACATCACTTCTTAAAAGGGAAACACTGTTATTTATTAGGAATTTTAGGAAAGTTAAGTGTGATTTCACTGATACTGAAACAGGAATTGATCATTAATTAAGTAACTAAGGGCAGAGTGCTGGCTTGTGGCTCACGCCTATAATTCTAGCTACTCAGGAGGCAGAGAACAGGAGGATTGTGGTTTGAAGCCAACCTCGGCAAATAGTTCACAAGACCCTATATCAAAAATACCTAACACAAAAAAATGGGCTGGTGGCATGGCTCAAGGTGTAGGCCCTGAGTTCAAGCCCTGGTCCTGCAAAAATAAATAAATAAATAAAGTAATTAAGTATAAATCAGTGGTCCTTGGTGTCATAAGGCAGAAATGAATCATCTCTGAGAGATTTAAGTTACATGTAAGGGACCTGCTATATAGCTCAGTGGTAGAGCACCTGCTTACCATGTTTAAGGCTTTGGGTTAGATCCCTCCCACCAAAAAAAGAAAAAGTTAAATTTGGGTAAGTGCTCTACCACTCAGCTATATTCCCCCTATAGTTAATTAGAAGGAAACCATTCAAATATTAGAGGGCATTTAAATTTTATGATGAGCTACCATGGAAAATTATAATTATCTTTTTTCATTATGGCTAAAACACAGAACATAAATGCTTTGCAGGGAACTGCACTAGGTGACCTCTAAATGTATCATAATACAAGTACTGAACATGAACTTTTGTACCACCATGATGCATTTGACTATTCTTCACAGATACTTTAAAGTGGAGGGATTTAAGCTGAACATGGTATGCATGCCTGAAGGAGTACTAGGTTGAAGCAGGAAGATCATGAGTTCAAGGGCAGCCTGGACTAAATACCAAGTTTGAGTCAGCCTGGACTATATAAGTGAGACTCTGTTTTAAAAAACGAGAAAAGCATGATGTAGGCATTTACCTTGATGCCCTACCTTACCTAAGACTTTTAAGATGACATAGTTCCACACATAGCGTCCTGAATTCTTCACCTTACAGGTGTACTGGCCCTCATCACTGGGCTTCAGAGGCTCAATCTGCAGGGAGGCATCTCCTGCCAGGAAATTGGAAGCAAAGGCTACCCGGCCATTCTGTTCCTCAGTCAAATTATTGTAGACATGACGACTAGAGTAAGTAATCACCTGTGGGAAAGACCAAGATAAAGTCAAGCAGTGATTGACCTTAGTGATTCTAAGGTCCAAGAGATCCCTGATCTAAATTAAAATACATTTGCTTAGGCCATCTCCTTCCAAAAGTAATACCTTTTATCTGTGTAGCATTTAATTATCAAGTGCTATTATTTCATTAAATGCTCAGAACCACTCCATTTTAGGAATCTGAGTTACGTACTGGAGGTCACACGTTTAAATTAAGGAAAGGAAGAAAACTTGCAAGCTATACGTACATTAAGCTTAGAATATTTCTGGAAGGGTGCACAACACACGGTGCTGAGTTGAGTCTGAGACTTGAGGGAAGGGAGGATAAGAATGCAAAGGAGAGTTGCCTTTCCCCTGTATACCTTTTTCTGTGTTTTGTGTTTCTACCACTTGCATGTGATCTCTTCAAAGTACTACATTCCTTATGCGAGGTGTTTTGTTTTTTTTATGACATCTAGTTTATTTCTCACCACAATTTTTCCAAACAGTTATTTTTTCCCCTGAATATTTAAGTGTCCCCATTTCACAGAAAGGTGGCAGAACTAGGATTTGAACATAGGTCTTATAAAGCCATCTAGTTTGTTGTTCCTATATACCACAGTTTACCTCTTTTCTTCCAGAAAGATTTAGAAATGGGGGAAAAAAATGAAATTGAAAAAATCAACTTGTTTTGTTCTTACAGAAGTTGAGCATCCAGGTGAAGGGACTGGAGAAGTGAATATGTAAAATTCTGGTCCAATCTAATACTGAGGGTTCTATTTGTTTGGCTTTCCCTCCTTGTTGGCTTTGCTGCAGATTGGTAAGAATAAGTTAGATGGGGAAAGCTATGTTTCTTCCTTCCATTTAATACACATTTCTTTGTTTTCCCAATTAGGGATACCAAAGCTTAAATTTTCCCAACAGAAAAAATAATCTTGATTTTTAGTGATTTTTTTTTTTGTCTGCCTGCATCACAGCACTTAACTTCTCCCTGGGTTCTCTTTGTCAGTCACTGTGTTAATAAGAAAACAGTGCTGATCTAGTCTACCAAAAGTTCAGTCCTACAACTTCAGCTTTGTTCTCCCTGCCACTGAGAGTAATATTCTTAAATTCATTTGATGTAAACATCAGCAAATATAGAATATGAGTGTTTCCCATCAGATCTAGAGGAGCCATTTAGATGAGTAAAACCCCTTTCTTGTCTTTATTTTTTGGCAGTACTGAGGTTTGAATTCAAGGCTTTGCATTTATTAGACAGCACTCTAACTTGAGCCATACCCCATCCCTTGTCTTTAGTAATCATAATGGAAGGGCTGGGTTGGGCCCAGGTAGCTCACTCCTGTAATCCTGGCTGAGATGAGGAAGACCCCATTTCCAAAATAACAACAGCAAAATAGACTGGAGTTATGGCTCAAACAGTAGAATGCCTGCTTTACAAGCATGAAGCTCTTGAGTTCAAACCTCAGTCCCACCAAAAAAAAAGGAAGGACCGGAGGTATAGCTTGGTGGTAGAACACTTGGCACTGAGTTCAGTGAGCCCCTAGTATCACCAAAAAAAAAAAAAAAAAAGTACTTATAATTAGGTGGAATTAATAAAGAAGTACAAACAGAAAGAAAAGGAATAATTTGCTTGAAATATCATCAGGAAGAGTGTCCTAGAAAAATTGGTGGTAATTGAGTCAGGCTTTGAAAGATGAAAAGACTAAGAGATGAGAATCAGGAAGAAGAGGGCTGGAGGAGCATTGCAGATACATATAATGGCACTAAGACAGGCTTGCAAGCACATGGGAGGCTCCTGAGCACATTTCTGGCTGCAACTATTCCAAATTGTTTTATTCTAACCCTTTAACCCATCCTCAATCACATGATGCTCTATGGCTTATCATATGCTTTCCTGAAAAGAAGCAAAGTCATCCAAGAAAATGTCCATCAGTTATTCTCCATCACATCAAGCTCTTCAGTAGCATTGTTCACTTTGCCCTTACCAGTCTGTCTGAGAAAAATGTTTTCTCCTCTGTATATTCTTTTTCCTAAGCAAATACATACTGGGCTTCTGTATCAGGTACTGGGCCTAACACTGAAAAAACAAACAGGCTAAGACCAGTTCCTACACTGAAGATCCAGCTCAAACTCTTGTGAGAGGGAATGGGGGAGAAAATAGTAAGAGAATATTGAACACTGTAATTGATAATATACTCAAAACATTTCCATTCAATACTGCCTTCTCATCTTTTTTTTTTTTTGCTTTTATATACTTACATACTACTCATATACTATCCTCAATCTATCTTTTTGAGGTTTTTTTTTTTTAATTAGGATATATTCATTGTGCAGGGTTGGGGGGAATTCAATGTGACAATTCCAAATAGGCTTATATTGTACTTTGGTTAGATCACCCCCTCCATCTACTGCCCTCTCATCCTAAATACCACCATTATTACCACTCTCATACCCTTGTCTCTGAGCTCCAAGATTTTTTTTGTTTTGTTTTCTTATTTGTTTGTTTATTTTGAGACAGGAGCTCACTGTGTTGCCCAAACTGACCTTGAACCCCTGGCTAAAGCCACAATGTTGCCTCAGCCTCCTGAGTAGCTGGGTCTACAAGTGCATACTACCATACCCAGCATGAGCTCCAATTTTGTATTTCCCACTACCTGGCTGCTGTATGTTTCTGTCCTCTCTAATCTACCCTACACAATGCTGTCAAGTTAATCTTGTTAACTTATTAATGTCAAATGCACATTAGCTATTCCTCAGCTCAAAACCGTAATGATTCCCCACTACCTCTGAATGATGACCAGATTCAGTCTAGGGCTCTCAAATGACCTCCATGTGAGCACTCTCTTTCTTAAACTCCCTTTTTTCCATCTCATCACTTAAAGAAGCTCTGCTCATTGTTTTAGTCTCAAAAGGAATGTTGCATTCTCATAAAACCTGTCCTGACATGATACTCAGAAAGACAGAGAAGGGTCTCTTCTTGCTCTTATCCATATTTATACCTTTTTTTTTTTCTGAACTGAGGTTTGAACCCAGAGCTTTGTACATGCTTAATTAAGCACAAACTACCATAGAGCTAGACTTCTACCCCTGGATATGATGAGCTATGGAGCATCTGTTGTTGTTGTTGTTTTTCTTTTTGCTGTACTGGTGTTTGAACTCAGGGCCTACACCTTGAGCCATCCACCAGCCCTTTTTTGTGAAGGGTTTTTTTTTTTTTTTTAGGTAAAGTCTTAGGAACTGTTTGCCTGGGGTTGAAATACAATCCTCCTCATCTCTGCCTCCTAAATTGCTAGAATTACAGGTGACAGCCACCATTACCTGGCTAGAGCATCTGTTTTATTTGAAGAGAAATTATGAAAGATTTTGTAATTGTCCAGAGGACGCTTTGGGTTTATCTGATTTTTTGTTTTGGTTGGGGGGTTTTGTGTGTGTGGTTGTTTTTTGTTTTGCTTTTGTTTTTGTTTTTGCAGTGCTGGGGATCCACCCCAGTACCTTGCACATGCTAGACAAATACTCTACCATTGAACTACATTCCCCAGCGTATTTGTTGTTTTTGTCTCTGGCTAGGCTGTTTTACAACTCTTCATCCAATAAGCATTTATTAAAAACACACTCTGTCCCTGGCACTATGCTATGATAACAATTCAGAAAATGAGTATTATAAATGTTAATAAATAACTTTCTTAAAAAGAGGTAAAACTTTCATAAAAATACAAATTGAAGCTGGGCACCTGTGGCTCATGCCTATAATTCTAGATACTCAGGAGGCAGAGATCAGGAGGATCAAGGTTCAAAGCCTGCCTGGGCAAATAGTTTGCTAGATCATATCTCAAAAAAACACATCACAAAAAAGGGCTGGTGGAGTGGCTCAAGGTGTAGACCCTGAGTTCAAGCCCCAGTACACCAACAAACAAACAAACAAACAAGTTGGACATGTGTCAAGGATTTTACTTTGCTCATTAATTAATAATAGAACTAATTAAAAAAGAAGAAAAAAGCAACAAAAAGAACTAATAAGATGTTTCAGCCAGTTCAAATGAGAATTGGTACTAAAAGTGATTTATATCCTCCTTTGAACAAAATTTATTTGCATTTCTATGAACACCAATGAATTGCATTTCCCATTTGACTACCGCATTTTCTCCTATAATATATTTCAGTGGCTATGCTAATGAAATAGATTAAAGATGCCATGATCTGAAGTGGGAGGATTTTTCAGTGTCCTGTTTCTATGTGAAATGACTGAACAGAAAATAATTGCCAATACATTTTGACACTGTTAAATGTGATAAAAACAAAAAGGTTGGAGACAGATCCCGGTGGCTTATGCCTATAATTCTAGCTAGGTTTGGGAGGTTGAGAGAAGGAGGATCAACTTTCAAGGCCACCTGGGCAGACAGTTTGTGAGACCGTCACCTCCAAAATAACCTTAGCAAAATGGCCTGGAGGCATGGGTCAAGAAGTAGAGTGCCTGCTTTGCAACCGGGAAGCCCTGAGTTTAAATTCCCCTCCCACTAAAAGTTTGGTGAATTTGTAAGGTTTTCTCTCCTATACTTTAAACAGGGGAGCTATACACTGTATCAGTGAAAACCTAACTATTAACACAGATAAAACTTGGAAGAGATTACTGATTAGCACTGCTAAGTCACCAATGTCTTCAAAATGATTAGAATGTTTCCTTGGGTGGTCTTTTTTTTCCCTCACAGGTAATATAGATCATGTGTAAAATTGATTCGAACAGCTGATAGTGGTAAAACTAGTCATTTTTAGCACTAAATCCTTTTTAGCAGGGTGACACACTTGTAATCCTAGCACTTGGGAGGCAGAGGCAGGAGGATCAGGAGACAGCAAGTTTCAGTCCAGCTTGGGCTATGTAGTGAGACCCTGCCTCAAAAAACAACTTTTTTTCTTTGATGAATGAGATTGCAAAAAGAAAGACCCTTTAAATTGCACTGGATTTCATGTGTACCCTTTCTTCATTCAGAGTCTGTTGTTGTCCTTAATTC